GGAGTCCCTGGACACCACAACCTCCTAAGCTCCACCAAAGGAGGAACCAATGGATACCACAATGCCATAGGCTCCTCCTCCAGTGTAGTGCCTGGACACCACACCCTCCTACGCTCCACCAAGGGAGGAACCAATGGATACCACAATCCCATAGGCTCCTCCTCCAGAGGAGCCCATGGACACAACACCAACCTATACTCCCCCTCCAGAGGAGGCCATGGACCCTTCACCCCCTAGTTTCCAGCATAGTCCATGGAAAGGTCAACCACGTCTCCTGCCCTCTGTTTTCCTCCTGCTGGTCCCAGGGGCAGTTTTATGCCTGGCCTTCCCATCTTTCCTTGCATCTTCATACCCAGTTTCCCAGCACCTATGGATATAGACCCTCCCGCGTGACCCTTCCTCCCTCCCCTCCAGGACATGGCACAACTCTGCCCCCAGGCAGCTCCTTTCATGGCCTCCAGTTGGCTCCTCACCACACAAGATTCTTATTTAATATTAAACACCATACTCGTTCTGTTTTTTGTGTCTATGCTCTGTAGATCCAGTGTGAGAAATGCTGGCTTGTGTGAGTGCTGACAGGAGGTCAGATCCTAGGGGAAAATGTTCCTGTGGTGCAAGAAACAGGGGCTGGAGGGTTGGGGGCTAGGGAGTAGAAGGAGCCAAAGGCCATAATGACTCCTCCTGAGCAGAAAAGCTGTGGCTGATGGGCCGGCACCTCTGCCGGCATAGTGGGTGAAGCTGCGGCCTGCAGTGCTGGCATCCCATATGGGTACTGGTTCAAATCCTGGGAGCTCTACTTCTGATCCACCTCTCTGCTATGGCCTGGGAAAACAGTAGAAGATGGCCCAAGTCCTTGGGCCCCTCTACACACATGGGACACCTGGAAGAAGCCTCTGGCTTCTGGCATTGGATCAGTAGAGCTCCAGCCTTAGGAGCCAACTGGAGAGTGAACCAGTGGATGGAAGAACTCTCTTTCCCTGCCTCTCCTTCTCTCTCTCTGTAACTCAGACTTTTCAATATATGAATAAATCTCTAAACGAAGGGAAAAAAAAGCTATGGCTGAACTTAAGGGATGGGGCCCAGGATCAATGAACCCAGGAAGGGAGGAGACAGGAAGGGTCATCCTGGCTATGGCAGCCACCACTTCTCACCTCCTCTCAGAGCTGCAATTGGCTGGATCTCCCCTCACACACACCAGCAGTCTACACTCTACACATTCACACCTGGTCCCTTAGGGAAATCTACACTCACAGCTCAGCCAGAAAGCACACATCTGGCATCGAAGCTCGCAGGCCACGAAGAACAGAGGAAGAAAACTCATCGCCCCACAATAACCAAGGACAACCGTAACTCTAGGATGTCACTGATTCCCGGGTGATCTGATTGTCAACATGCGGAGATGTCCTCCTTGTTGCTCTTCCATTCAGATCTGGAAAGGGGAAGCAAAGAGACTATTTGCAGGGGAAACAAGCTAAGTTAGAGTCCATTTTCCAAAAAGGATTAATTGATTTATATCTTTTAACCCACAAGTACAAAGCATATCAATAGTCACTCCCAGCCATGCCACAAGACAAAAGCTGAACACCTGAAGTCACCAACTCATCTTGTATCCTACAGAAAAGTGAGGTCACTGGCAAAACACACCTTCAGAAATTGCCTTGACTGTCAGATGCAGAGAATCCCAGCTTAACTGAGCACAGGCCTCTGCTGGGGCTCAAATGTAGGTAGGGAACACAGACTGTAATAGGTCAACTGCTGGGGGCACAATGTGCACATTCTAGAGAGGAGAAAACTCCAGGGAGGGGGCAATCTTTTCTAAAAGAAGAGCTAACAAAGTTTTTAAAAACTTATTTTCATTTTATTTGTTAGGAGAGCTGCAGAAAGAGATGGAAACAGCCATACTCAGATCTTCCTTCCTATGGCCCACTTCCCACATGCCTGGAATGCTGTCGTCTTCCTTCTTGCTCTCTCTCACACAAATCAAACCCCAAACCATGCTGCATAACCTGGAAATCTCTAGGAAATACCAAGTCCCACACACATGCCAGTGCAGGTGCATCCCATCAATCTGTGGCCTGGACTTCTCAAGACATCCATCTCATCATAATCAAGTCAGGTCTAAGGAGATAGGCATTGCAGTACAATAGATTTGCCATCTGCTTGGGACGCCCCCATTCCATATTGGATTTCCTGAGATAGAGTCCCACCATTGCTTCTGATCCAGCTTCCTGCACATGTGCACCCTGGGAGGCCCAGGTGATGACCTCAGTGCTTGGGTTCCTGTCATCCATGTGGGAGCACATGATTGAGTTTCTGGCTTCAGTCAGGCCCAGCCCCACCTTTGTATTTGGGAAGTGAATTAGCAGATAGAAGGTCTTGAGATCTCATTCTCTCTCTCTCTCTCACTGTGTGTGTGTGTGTGTGTCAGTGTGCATGTGAGTGGGTGTGTCTAACTTTCAAAGTAGTAAATGGATTCTATAAGAAAAACATGAAGAGTCTGAGACTAAATTCTGGATGTAGTGTTGGTACAGAAAACAGACATGTGGGTACAGCTAAGGAATTTGAATAAACTGTGGCCTTTAGTGGATAATAAAGTATCAGTGCAGGTTCACTGATGGCAATAAACACACCACACTAAGGAAAGATGTCCATACGAGCTACTTCCGGCAGTTCCTTTATGAAGGGACTTCAAAAGGTCATGGAAAATGCATATTATGAGTAAACTGACACATGGACTTAAATTCTTTCTGCAACAAGGTAAATTCAGCTTTTCTCTCATTTCCTCCCCAAAGAGTCTGAAGTTCTCTCTCCTGGTTTCACATTGTGATCTTTTCCTTGCCACTGGGATGCCCATTCACCAAACCACCTTCAGGGCAAATATCTATCAAGACCAAGGCTGGACCTCTCAGGAGCCACTCCCTGAATTCCTTATCACTGCACATGCATCCCACTCACAGGAATTACTACTGTGCTCAGAGGATTCAACCTGCTCTCTCATACTCCCTATTTTCCAGTCCCTGGAATAAAGACCTAAGGACTGAATGCTTTAAGCCTCGGGCAACCGCACTGAATGATCCTGGGTACAGACATGGGGACATGTCAAAAACAAAGCACCACCGAGAAAATCAAGGGCCTGGCTTCACCAGCAAGACACAAGGAGGTCTTAGCTCAGCCCTTAGCACTCGATTCTGTCCATAGTCCTGAAAAGTTTTGCACCTCTGCACATTTGTCCAAACTCATCTCTACCAGGGGACAAACACTGCTCCCCAGACACACAGGAAACAACCTGACAGCAGACAACAAGGGCCACACCACAAGGAAGCTGTCATCCCTGAGCAGCTCCTTTGTGTCGAGGCTTTGCCAGCAACACTGCCTTCAGTTCCTCCTCACTCCCACCTCACTGACAGGAGGGTGCAGTTACAAGTTCAGCTGACAGATAAGAGTTTGGATTCCAGACCCCCACCATGAGATAGGTACTTGGTGGCTCTGGGCCTCAGTGTCCCACATGTCAACTGGGGCTACTAACAGTCTCTGCAGTACAATCAGCTGCTGCCTGAGCTCTGCTGCTCCCATTGCTATTCCCATCCCATCCCTATTTGAAAGAGGAAGGAAGGAGAGGTCCTAAGATCCTGGCTCATGGCTTCAGATCGGCCCAGCTCTCACCAGTGTGACCATTTGGGAAGGGAATCAATAGATGGAGCATCTCCAGTAGATGGAGTATCTCAGGATCACCCCCCACCCCTTAATATTACTGTGCCTCTCAGACAAATAAATAAAATCTTTAGACAAAGATCAAGATGCATCTCTTTTGCAGGTTCACCCTGCAAATATCCACAGCAGCCCAGTTGTAGCCAAGCCACAGTCAGCAGACATGAAGGCACTCTGGGTCTCTTACCTGAATCACAGGCAACCAACAGCACCCAGTACCACCTGCTGCCTCCCAGGGTACACATCAGAAGAAAATTAATCAGAACTGGGATAGGAACTCAACCCCAGGCACTCTGACAAGGGATGTGCATGTCCCAAGCAGCATCGGGTGCTGTGCTGAAAACCTGCCTCTTCCAATATCTGTGAAGGTGACCCATTTTTCTTCAGTAAAGAAGTGGAAGAACTGAGCTGGCACTGTGGCATAGTGAGGAAAGCTGCCACATGTGGTGCTGGCATCCCCTACGGGCACTGGTTCAACATCTGGCTGTTCTATTTCCAATGCAGCTCCCTGCTTTTGCACCTGGGAAGGCAGCAGATGACAGTTCTGGTACTTGGGCCCCTGCACCCACATGGGAGACATGGAAGAAGCTCCTGGCTTCAGAAAGGCACAATTCCAGCCATTGTGGCCATTTCAGGAGTGAACCAGTGGATGGGAGACTGGATTCTCTCTCTCATTCTCTAACTCTGCCTTTTAAATAAAGAAATAAATATATTTATCTATCTATCTATCTTTTAAAAAATACAAACTGGAAGACTCCATGGACATGGCCAAATTGCCAAGATCCTTAGTTATTGAGGAAAGTACTAAGTGTTTGTTTTATTGCAAAAATGTCTGGAACTTAAACTACCTTCTATTGACAAAGTATATATTTCAGGTGTATCTTTAAATCCCACTGTCCTTGAATTCTAAATTTCCTCATATCACCAGCAGTGGAATTGCTAGGGGACATAACTACTCTATTATTCAGGGGACGATACTACACACATTTATCCACCTGTCTTTGTGCTACTTAGAACTATTCTTGCTGTGTGCATGGTTGTCAATCTCCTTCCTCCAGCTACCTTCTTAGTATGCCATTTCCTACATGGATCTTCTTTTTCTAGCACCGTATTACTGAGCTGATGTATTTCATACAGCAACACACACACACACACACACACACACACACACACACATGCATGTAAAGCTGGTGAAATCCTGATGGGCTGAAGGATTTTTAGGGTCAATTTCTACAGAATCACCTGTGTGTTTCTGAAAACAAAGGAGCTGCCAAAGAGAGCAGAACACTCACCAACTCATCTAGCCTATAGAGCTGTCCAAAGCTGATGGAACCTCTGAAGAGAGCAATGAAGACAGAGATCAAAGGCATCTTCACTGGTCGTGGAAGGCACTGGAGAAAGGCAGAATGGGAGAAGCCATGACTCAACCCCATGGGCCAGTGACCCCTGTCCTGCCCCTCCCAGCCCCTTCTCTCCCCCTCCTCCACCTCCTTGCTCTCCTCAAGATCTTGCACAGGACATGGCTGCTTAGGTTCTTCACTGTGCCCTCAGCCTCACTGATGCTCTCATCCACTTCAGCCTCTGCACTTCCAAGTTAGGCTGGGACCATGACGTCTCAACATGGGACCCATGTCCTCTGTCATTGTCTGAGGGAGTCCACAGCCCTTTAGCAGCTCCACACACACCTAAATATCTTCTTCGCCTGAGCACTCGGGCCCTTCACTCTGAGAGAGAATTTACAGCATATTCTGACAGTCACAAGCTCCCAAGGGTAGTCAGTTATGTGCTATATCCTTACAATTGCCACAAAAAAGGAGAAGTAGATGACTGTATAGTAAACAGCAGCTAAAAGCCCTCCAATTCTCCCCTCCAATAAATCAGTGAGAAACCAGGTAAAAACAGTCACCATTAACATTTTGTAAGTTTTTAATCTTTTGATTCAGTGGGAGAAATGCATAGGAGAGTGAGGGCCCTATCTAAAAAAGACAGAGAAATCTGGATTCATACCGAACACCACTAGCCACCATGTGGAGGAGTATGCAGGCCAGGAAGCATGGAGCAGGTGGCCTGAAGACCACATGCCCAAAGGTGCAGGGGCAGCAAGCCCATCCAGCACAAAAGGGAAAAGGGCCAGAAAGCCATTAACATTTCAAGAATCCTGGAAACTAACCCAACGTCTGCAGGAACCCAGGCAGTACCAAGCACAGAAAAACAAAGCACAGCTGACTCTCAGGAAGAACAGGGGGTTGGTGGCAGTCTCCCTGTCCCAAGTACAACCTGCTGCTCTGCAGTTCCACAGGAACACAGAAAACGGAAGCCCACGTTCATGGTGAAAACCAGCAGTGGGCAGCCACTGCCGGGAGCACAATCAGTCTGTGGCTTCCCCAAAGCCTTATTCATAGAGAATGAGCACTCTCTGAGGAGTCTGCTGCCTTCGGGAAGAACCCACTTTCTAGGCTGAACTTGACCTGACCTTGAGCTTGTCCAAGGTGATAAGTACAATGGTCCCCAGCAAAACTCTCAAAACTATCACAGCCACTGCTTAACTTTGTGGATACTCTAAGTAGTTAACAACTCCCTTAGATAAAGGACAAACTAACCCAACAATATTGCAGGAGAGCTAAGTCATGAGTGTCTGTAGGGGACTCAGGAAGCTCTGGCACACTCCTGGGAATCTAGATATGCACAGGTGCACCCTTCTCTGATGAGAGAGGCTCGAGGTGCTGGACTTCTCACACACACAAGGACTAATGCCAAACCTCTTGCTCCTCCTGGGGTACTAGAATCTACCCATGGGCTGGGAAGAAGGCACCACTGAACAGCCTGGGCAATCAGACTCTGAGACTTGTCTGGCAAATGTCACTCTTGTTGTCACAACTTGTTCTGAGTCCAGGGGGGCCTCCACAGGAAGCACTGACCCTGGGAGTGCTCAGGATCAGGATCTCCCAACACAAGCAGAATCACCAAGAAAAGACTGCAGCCAGCTGACACTACCTCTGAGGAAGTACAGACATGGAACTCACTAGGCCCAGAGCACTCGGCATTCACACTATACTCAAATTAGTGAAGGAATCTATGTGTTAAGCACTACAAACATCAAGAGAAGTGTTTCACAGGATAGGAAATAACAGGAAGGGAATATATCTTATGAGAGGAGTGACACAAGTTTCTGGAATTGAAAAGAACAACTGAGAACCCCCTGCAGGGGCCTGCACCAGCTTCCTCCAGTCACCATAGCTCCTTACTGCCATCTGCCTGGCTTTAAAGCTGGAAGTTTGCTCACAGTTCTGGAGGGCAGGGCCTGATGTCAGAGGCCTGCTGCTCCCTGCTCTATCTGAAGGCTCCAGCGTAGGGTCCTCCATGGGCTCTTCCTAGTTTCTGGCACTTGCTGCATCTTGGGTTGTTGCTTTGCAGCTGCAACTTCCCAGCCTCTGCCTGTGCCATCAGAGTCTTCTTCCTTCCACATCCACATTTGCCTGGAATGGAAGGACAACAGCAATGGATCAGGGCCCACTCTGACACAGGATGAGCTCATCATCCCTGACTCTACCTGTGAACACCTTATTTCCACAGAAAGCCTCCCACACAGACATTGAGCGCTAAGGCTTAAACGTTGCAGGACAAACTCCTCATACAATAGGATTTTGAACAGGCAAAAGAAACACCGAACCTGTGGATCAGACCCTGCAGATGGCCCAGTCCAATGAATAATAAGCAAACAATAGTTTCAGAGACCTGTGGGACACTATCAAGCATAACACATATTCATAAAGAGTCCAGAGAGACAGGGATATGAGACAGGGACAGCAAGAATATATGAATTGTGTCCCCAAATTGCCTAAACATTTTGAACAAGAATAATCAAAATATGCATGGGTGTTTGGCCAAGTCATAAATCAAACAGGACATCAATATCCAACAAAGAAATGGTTCAATTTGATTCCCTAGCTCTGTCTCCTGTTTCCAGCTTCCTGCTCCTATGAATATTGGGAGGCAGCAGTGAGGGTCCAAGTCGTTGGGCTCATTCCACACATGGGGAAAACTTGGATTGGGAACCCAGTTCCCAGCTGTGATCTTACAGTTGTAGAAAGTACTTCAGAGGAGTCAATCAGCAGCTGGAATATCTCTCATGCCTCTATCGCTGACACATCATAGGATGCAAAAATATACATGGAGTTCAATGAACTGCACTAGTAGAAATTCACATCCTAGTAAGTTGGAAGGCAAAGACAAAGACATGCAAGGGCCTCCAGAATGAATTGTCATGCACAAAGTATCTCTGAGAAGATGAACACTGGTATGGCTGTAATCCATTTTTAAAAAGTATAGCTAGTAATGTTGTGTAATTTAAACATCACACTTTATTCTGCAAATCCCTCACAAGTTTTTTTTTTTAATTTGTTTTATTTATTTGACAGGTAGAGTTACAGAATTTAAGAGAGAGACAGAGAGAAAGGTCTTCCTTTCATTGGTTCACTCCCCAAATACTGCTACAGCTGGAACTGTGCCTATCCAAAGCCAGGAGCCAGGTGCTTCTTCCTGGTCTCCCACATGGGTGCAGGGGCCCAAGCACTTGAGCCATCCTCCACTGCCTTCCTGGGCCACAGCAGAGAGCTGGACTGGAAGAGGAGCAGCCAGGAATAGAACTGGCACCGATATGGCATGCCGGCACTGCAGGTGGAAGATTAACCAAGTGAGCCACAGTGCCGGCCCCTCCCTTAAAAGTTTGACACTTCCTCAGAAAAGTTCAGAGTGTCAGTATACATAGTAGCCAAATGTGTAAGTGACCCATTTACCCAGCATGTGATAAATGAAAAGTATTAATATGTTTCATTCACACAGTAGATATTACTCAGCCATAAAAGGATCAGGTGTGGATATATGCTACAATATGGATGAACCTTGGATATATTTTGCTTATTGAAAGAAAACAGACATAAAAGTGACCCTCTATCTCCATGATATGGCCAGAAGTGAAAATAAATCCACAGCGACAGGAGGTAGATAAGGGTTACCAAGGCAAGGCAGGTGGAGAGAATGAGGTTCTCTGACAAGGAGTATGGTGTTTCCCTTTGAGATGATGAGAAAAGTACGGAAATGACAAGACAGGAAAACCTGAATATACCAAGACCCAGTGAACAGTATGCTTTGTTTATTTTTAAAGATTTATATACTTGAAAGGCAGAGTGACAGGGAGTGGGGGATGATAGGGAGATCTATCCACTGGTTCAGTCCCCTCAGATGACTGTAATAGCCAGGACTGGGCCAGCCTGAAACCACAAGCCAGGAGCTTCCTCCAGATCTTTCACATGGCTGGCAGGAGACCAAGCGCATGGGCCATCTCCCACTGTTTCCCCAGAAGCATTGGCATGGAGCTGGATCAGAAGTGGAGCAGCCAAGGGGCTTCCATAGCCTAGACAGCTCATAGCAAGAGTCTCGGGTGATTTCTGATATATACAGAACTTTCAATCCTACAGCTAAAGATTTTACATTCTTCTCAGCAGTACATGGAACCTTCTCTAGGATTGACCACATACTAGGCCATAAAGCAAGTCTCAGCAAATTCAAAAGAATTAGAATCATACCATGCAGCTTCTCAGACCATAAAGGAATGAAGTTGGAAATTAGCAACTCAGGAATCCCTAGAGCATACGCAAACACATGGAGATTGAACAACATGCTCCTGAATGAACAATGGGTCATAGAAGAAATTAAAAGAGAAATCAAAAATTTTCTGGAAGTAAATGAGGATAACAGCATAACATACCAAAACTTATGGGATACAGCAAAAGCAGTGTTAAGAGGAAAGTTTATATCAATAGGTGCCTACATCAAGAAATTGGAAAAGCACCAAATAGATGAGCTTTCAATTCACCTCAAGGATCTAGAAAACCTACAGCAAACCAGACCCAAATCTAGTAGGAGAAGAGAAATAATTAAAATCAGAGAAGAAATCAACAGGATTGAATCCAAAAAAAACCTTACAAAAAATCAGCCAAACGAGGAGCTGGTTTTTGAAAAAATAAACAAAATTGACACCCCATTGGCCCAACTAACTAAAAAAAGAAGAGAAAAGACCCAAATCAATAAAATCAGAGATGAAAAAGGAAATATAACAACAGACACCACGGAAATAAAAAGAATCATCAGAAATTACTACAAGAACTTGTATGCCAGCAAACAGGGAAACCTATCAGAAATGGATAGATTCCTGGACACATGCAACCTACCTAAATTGAACCAGGAAGACATCGAAAACCTAAACAGACCCATAACTGAAACAGAAATTGAAACAGTAATAAAGGCCCTCCAAACAAAGAAAAGCCCAGGACCAGATGCATTCACTGCTGAATTCTACCAGACATTTAAAGAAGAACTAACTCCAATTCTTCTCAAACTATTCAGAACAATTGAAGAAGAGGGAATCCTCCCAAATTCTTTCTATGAAGCCAGCATCACCTTAATCCCTAAGCCAGAGAAAGATGCAGCACTGAAAGAGAATTACAGACCAATATCCCTGATGAACATAGATGCAAAAATCCTCAATAAAATTCTGGCCAATAGAATGCAACAACACATCAGAAAGATCATCCACCCAGACCAAGTGGGATTTATCCCTGGTATGCAGGGATGGTTTAATGTGCGCAAGACAATCAATGTAATACACCACATTAACAGACTGCAGAAGAAAAACCATATGATTATCTCAATAGATGCAGAGAAAGCATTCGATAAACTACAACACCCGTTCATGATGAAAACCCTAAGCAAACTGGGTTTGGAAGGAACATTCCTTAATACAATCAAAGCAATCTATGAAAAACCCACAGCCAACATCCTATTGAATGGGGAAAAGTTGGAAGCATTTCCACTGAGATCTGGTACCACACAGGGATGCCCACTCTCACCACTGCTATTTAACATAGTTCTGGAGGTTCTAGCCAGAGCTATTAGGCAAGAAAAAGAAATTAAAGGGATACAAATTGAGAAGGAAGAACTCAAACTATCCCTCTTTGCAGATGACATGATTCTTTAGGGGACCCAAAGAACTCTACTAAGAGACTATTGGAACAAATAGAAGAGTTTGTCAAAGTAGCAGGGTATAAAATCAATGCACAAAAATCAACAGCCTTTGTATACACAGACAATCCCATGGCTGAGGAAGAACTTCTAAGATCAATCCCATTCACAATAGCTACAAAAACAATCACATACCTTGGAATAAATTTAACCAAGGACGTTAAAGATCTCTACGATCAGAATTACAAAATCTTAAAGAAAGAAATAGAAGAGGATACCAAAAATGGAAAAATCTTCCATGCTCAGGGATTGGAAGAATCAATATCATCAAAATGTCCATTCTCCCAAAAGCAATTTATAGATTCAATGCAATCCCAATCAAGATACCAAAAACATTCTTCTCAGATCTAGAAAAAATGGTGCTGAAATTATATGGAGGACCAAGAGACCTCGAATAGCTAAAGCAATCTTGTACAACAAAAACAAAGCCAGAGGCATCACAATACCAGATTTCAGGACATACTACAGGGCAGTTGTAATCAAAACAGCATGGTACTGGTACAGAAACAGATGGATAGACCAATGGAACAGAATAGAAACACCAGAAATCAACCCAAACATCTACAGCCAACTTATATTTGATCAAGGATCTAAAACTAATTCCTGGAGCAAGGACAGTCTATTCAATAAATGGTGCAGGGAAAATTGGATTTCCACGTGCAGAATCATGAAGCAAGACCCCTACCTTACAGCTTACACAAAAATCCACTCAACATGGATTAAAGACCTAAATCTATGACCTGACACCATGAAGTTATTAGAGAACATTGGAGAAACTCTGCAAGATATTGGCACTGGCAAAGACTTCTTGGAATAGACACCGGAGGCACAGGCAGTCAAAGCCAAAATGAACATGTGGGATTGCATCAAATTGAGAAGTTTCTGTACTGCAAAAGAAACAGTCAGGAAAGTGAAGAGGCAACCGACAGAATGGGAAAAAATATTTGCAAACTATGCAACAGATAAAGGGTTAATAACCAGAATCTACAAAGAGATCAAGAAACTCCACAAAAACAAAACCAACAACCCACTTAAGAGATGGGCCAAGGACCTCAACAGACATTTTTCAAAGGAGGAAATCCAAATGGCCAACAGGCACATGAAAAAATGTTCAAGGTCACTAGCAATCAGGGAAATGCAAATCAAAACCACAATGAGGTTTCACCTCACCCCGGTTAGAATGGCTCACATACAGAAATCTACCAACAACAGATGCTGTCGAAGATGTGGGGAAAAAGGGACACTAACCCACTGTTGGTGGGAGTGCAAACTGGTCAAGCCACTATGGAAGTCAGTCTGGAGATTCCTCAGAAACCTGAAGATAACCCTACCGTTCGACCCAGCCATCCCACTCCTTGGAATTTACCCAAAGGAATTTAAATTGGCAAACAAAAAA